ATACAATAACATCTTTCAACAACACAAATTTAAGCTCATTTTTATAATCATACTTGCTCGAAGCAAGGGAGCACGGCAAATGCGCGCACGCGCGCGGTTTTGAATAGTTGGGTTTCCTGTGGTGATGGCGTAATTTGACACAGGAAGACCGTTATAGCAGTTGGCACGTGGGCAGTTGGTTGGGCTTTGGTATATTATATAAATGTACACGGGGTTTAACTTATGTGTAGCGCCATATTAGRTTGAGCCCGCACTATATTTTTTTGGAAAAACCGCATTCGTCACCACCACAGGAAGCCCATATTTTACCACAGGAAACCCAATATATGAAAGCCGTGGCTTGCGCGCATTTGCCGTGCTCCCTTGCTCGAACAGCTTAATAAACAGTTGAATATTTGGTAAAAATTTACATTTCATTTGATGATTAAATAAATTATCCGTGTAGAAAGATATCTAAAAGTCTTCTTTTTTTGCCGACTGGACCCCGSGATAGGAGGCGAACAAAGCTTTTTCTTGAACGAAAAACATACGATAGCTGGTTAAAAACAACCGAATTGTTAAAGATTTACAAAGCTAAATAAAGGACAAATATTTGTTGTAATATGCTCTTCATGCTATATTTCCTCCAGCATTAAAAGAAATTAATCGTATCGATAAAAATATAAAACGTTTTGAGAGAAAGTCTTTGATTTATCGATTCGTCGAGAAAAATGCTTTTCAGAAAATATATATTTATACGATTGTTTGTTTAAAAAAACAGACCTGAATTCTTGAAGAACACTTCTTGATCCATCTTTGACTACATGAAAGTGTTTTTTAATTGTTTTTGGTCTATAACTTGTCCTAAAGCGATTTTTTCTGCGCATTTGAGAGCCGCATTTGYGAGTAGTTTTGCTTTGATATCAAGCGGGATTCCTGTGTTGTGTACACGCCCGGACGGACGGACGGACGTACGGACGGAAGTGACGTCAGCCAAACCATGAAAGATCAACTCGATGGTTTACCATTTTTTCTTAAGGACGGTGCCTGCTAATTGAGAATCAATTACTTTTTTAAATGACTATGTAAATTATTTTAACCTATCAAAGGGTTGTCAAATTCTGGTTAGAAAAGTAGGGGTCACCATACATTTAAAAGAAATAATAAGACTTAAAATCGTTAAAAAGTGATGACGTCATGATTTTACTAACACCAGGAAGAAAAAAAACTTTTCAAAAGATTTTGAGAAATTTCTTATTTAAATCGTCCTAAATGACTGACACTGTTTCTTTACTAAAATATACCCAATTCTACCATGACTTTAATAGTTGGCTATAATATATATATATTTTTTAGCTTCGTGCTCCCTATTTTCGATCAGTAGGTACATAAAGATTGTGTCCATATTCTTTTCAAAACCAATTATTTTTTATAAATTTCATTTCACGAGGTTAATTTAGCATTTACTCTATCATTTAAAAGAAGAAAAAATAGGGGGATCCAGGCGTTTTTAAGAGATACGAATTTGTAAAGAATATTATTAGGGATAAATCTTATGCCGAATGCGTGACAACCGTTACACAGCATACAAAACGGCGTGACAAACTCTGTTTTTGGCACGTCTGCACGTCAAGCCAGAGGAGGATACACTAGTATCCCAAGTTACTTTGCGAGTTTCGTTTTCCAATATGGCGTCGCTTTSTACTCGTGTGTAGCGGTGTGCGACTTGCACTTTTCGTAGCAGCTGTTACGTGACCTGTACGAGGCAAAAACTCATGAACTTGTATTGTTTATTAATAATACTCTTAATCTACATGCATAATTGTTTGGATTTGCGCCAATTGTAAGAGTTATATCGCTCGAGTTCACTTTGTCACGCGGTGTCATACCTGATGTCATATTGGATTTTATATGGTACATAAAGTAAATGCTGCTTTTCACATATTTGAGTATTTTAAGTTTAAGCAACCAATATGTGTAATTCAGATATTTAGGAAAAGCAAAACCTTGAAATGACCAAAAGTGACCCATGATTTATAGTCTTTTGGACAGTCACAATTGAAGTATATTTACGAGAATTTATCGCAAACGCGACTCGTAAAAGGTGTGATATTTTTTGCCCATTTCATACAAAACAAAAATATTTRATAAACCTTACTTACTCCTATACTARATGTWGAAGTAAGGCGAATAAGAGCTGGGCTACGGACGTTATTGAACAAGTAATCAATCGAAGAGTTGTCACTCGTTGTTGGAACAAGAGCGACACGTCTCTCTCTCAATTTCTCCAAAAAACTGACGTGAACGAGTCTAAAAACGACTTGTACTCCTTCAAGGCCGGGTACACAAACAGAAAAATCATCTTTTGAAACACAATGAACATACAATAATGAAATATCTTGAAAAGCATTTCCCGAGTCTGAACACCACCATCTTGTTGTGCACTCTAAGCCGGTCAAACCAAAGTGATGACGTCACGAAAAAGTGATAATATAGTATCAAACACAATGCATTCTGGGATACTAGTGGAACCTCCTCTGACGTCAAGCTAAACATGCTGCTTCCTGCCATGCAAGCAAAAAACACAGAGAAAAACTCCATAATTATAAGTTTTATAGTTCCAGGAAGACTATTTGGTTTGAAGTGAAGTTATTATCGACTTTTTACTTAACAGCAGAAAGGAATTTCTGAAATATTTGGTACGTCAAATCCTTTTTTGGTCACTAAACACTTTCATCATGAAATTCTTTTACTTTGGAGTTCTCAATCTAAAAAATCATCTTATTCAATAAGATGATTTTTAAGATTGAGAACTCCAAAGTAAAAGAATTTCATGATGAAAGTGTTTAGTGACCAAAAAAGGATTTTCAAAACTATAATTACACACCTAGATATTAACGAATGATAAATTTTCAATTTCATATGTATTTTTTGTTTGTTTTTATTCAAGTTTTATAGGATTAAAGAAACGATAAAAAGCTTTATTATTGAAAGGATTTGGTTTTTTAGAACTATGAGTCTGCCATTTTTTCAAAACTTGCCCAAAAAAACTTATGATTCTTGGTCAATAATACTTAAACCTTAGCAAATTATCTCTTTAACAACCCTGGGTTACTTAAGATAGTTCTCTGCTTTAACTTTTATTGAAAATAAACGTTTTGTTTCGTGTAATTCGAGTAATAAATTTTGAAATTGCTCAAAAGTAGATACGCAGTACGTGTGCGCGTGGACAATAGTAGGCACCGTCCTTAAGTAATATCCCATTATTCATTATTAGTGGTTGCTACTGAGTAATCCTCCTTTAACACTGATCTCTAACTTGATCTTCCGTAACCCCTCCGATCCACCCACCCCCTGTACTATAAATGGTGAAAAATTGTCAAGTTCATCCATTAATAAATTATCTTTTCGAGTCATTCAGAGCTAACAAAGTGCTTGTTTTTGTTGTTTTGCGTTATTTTATTTTTAATGTTTATGAGCAAATCTCAAATACATCTAACAAACAACTGTAAAAGAACAGCCATCCATTGTCCATTCAAGGATCAGGGATGTTCAGACAAAGTTGAACGACAACATGTCGAGAAACACGTACAAGACAACATGGCACCACACATGATGTTACTGGCCAGACAATGTTCATTGCTCACTAAAGAAAACCAAGTTCTATACGATGAGCTAAAGATAACGAAGGTATTAAGTAGAGTAAATGGAATCGTTTGTTAAGGTCATCCAACATGGCGGCCATCACCATTAATTGTTTGCTTTATTCGAAAATTTTTTCTCTGGGTTCTCTGGTTTTCATACCTTTCCAAAGCTTATTTGATTAATACGCTAAATCTGAGTCAAGAGGATCTTTCAGGATTCTATCTGTGTGTTAGCCGTGCCCTGACGTAGATCCACCTAGAGCTTGTTTCGCGGCTCAAACTGACGTGTGCGCTAGCCGTGCTCTTACTTAAATAAACCAGAATCCAATCTCTGAGTTAGCTGTGCTCTGACTTATCTAGTCTTAGATCAAATAAGAGATTGTTTAAGCTAGGATTCATTATATCGATGTCTTTTTGATTTGCTTTGGTTTTCTTCAGCGAAAAATAAATGATCTTGAAATCGAAGTGATAAACAAAAGTCGCTATGTGTGGACAATACTGGACTTTCCCACTCAAGTCGAAAAATACACTGAAGGCATTTGGATAAGGAGTCCAACCTTCTGGTTGTGTGGCAACTGCTGGTTTCTGAAATTGTACCCTAATGGCCGTGACAAAAAGTCCAAAGAATATGTCTCATTATGCCTTGTTTTGAGTGACGAGGATATACTTGTACGAACTGGGAAACCTTTTGTTGTAGCAACAAACGAAGTGTCTGTGGCATATGCAAGGTAGGTCAATTGTCGCGTTTCAGTTAAACTGGAAATTTACTGGTAAAGCTAAACAAGTGAGTGAAAAAAACTCCCATTACGTATACTTTAACTGTACGAAGCCGATATACAAACACGCGGCTGAGTTATAGAACTATTGAAAAGCATTGTCATATATATATATATATTTTTTTTTTCTTTTTTACAGAATAACTGTGAAAAGCCAGTCTCAAGCAGCATCCATAACACATGACGTAACATTAAACCCAAGGTTTGAATCTACTGGCGTAGTCAGCGAGGTTGCTATGATCAGCAAACTGATGAAAACAAATGAAGCACTTTCTCCAGATTTTTGCAGCGTAACAGATGGTTGTATTACTGTTTCATGCATTCTCTCTTAAAGGTCAACTGGTTTAGAGGCGCGTAGTAAAATAATCTAAATTCACTACTGCAAAAAAGTAGTAGTAAACATTTAAACTTCAAATAAAGCAAAAAGCTTTCTTTCGATTTCACCCGTTATAACAATCTTTTTTTTTTTACTAAACTGCAAAACGACATTTAAAAAAATTTGTTTTATTTCCAATCCAATCCAATCCAATCCAATCCAATCCAATCCAATCCAATCCAATCCAATCCAANACTTATCTATATTTCTATATCTTCATGTATTTTTGATATTCATATATTTTATATATCATTATAGGGAAGTCACTAAACCCGTGATAGATATTTGACTATGAACACACTTTAGTAGACCCTAATCCCATTGTTTTCTTTTGTGTCTATTTGAGTAGACTATTACACGTTGACTAGTAATTTTTATTTCACGGGCTAAATGCCCTCACTCTATCAGTACTATTATTAATTAGTAAATTAGTAATGGAAATATTTCTCTTGTTTCTGTTTTAACAGGGCTCTCTTTAATCCAATCCAATCCAATCCAATCCAATCCAATCCAATCCAATCCAATCCAAGACTATTGATTCCCAATTTATTCCCAAAGCAATGCGAAATACAAAATGATGAATTTCTTTGTCAGTAAATTGGCATTTAAATGTGTTTTTTAGTATTTTTTTAGCTTTTTAAAAGTGAAATACAAGGTCTTTATGCAAAATAAATGAACGGATCATAAGTAGTGTGCGTCCAACTAATTATGATCCATTGCTTTTATAATATAGTCAAGTCAACAAACAAGAAATGAATACAAAATATTGACTTTATTTGTTGATCATGCCCTAAATTCTCCTTACGCATGCTCCTTGCGTGAATGAACAGCACAAAGGCGCCAAAAACATCAGAAAAACAGTCGTTTTGAAAATGGCAGCTTTACACTGAAGACTGTTATGACTAAAATAATGGCAAAAATTTAGCTTACGAGTGAACCAAAAATGTTCAAAACTACGGAGAAAGTAATTTTCAACCGTAAGAAGTACATTTCAAATGATAACTTATCATTATCATACAGTAATGCCAAGAAAGTCAATGAAAAATAAATTGGCTTTCTTTGTTGTTGTTGACGATGTTCAAGTTTATTTATATCGTACAATGACTTAACAATGGAAAGCTTCTTATTGTACACGGATCAAAACTAAGTGACTGAACTGGATTAATTTCCTCTGGGTAGTATGCTTTGTCGGCTTTCACTCTCATGTAGAGATCCAGAAAGGACTTCGCTGCAGTTGTGAAGCTGAGAAGTAGATGGTGAGCGCAATATTTGTAGTTAATTACTTTGGAAATACTTTTGTTGAATAAATACACGATAACAATATTCAGATTTTTGTATTTGTTTAATCATTGCTAAAAACCCTTTGAATGTATAGACACCAACCGATTTGTGGTTTGCTTTGTCTTTTTGGAGTGACGCTCTGACACAATCTTGTCCAGCTCACTGTTTGAAAGTGATGCAAATTTTGACAAATGACAACTCTATACTAAATGTCGGAGATTGATGAGTATTTTCGCTAGTTTATTTAATCATTTTCAGTTATTTTTTCTAGATAAATTGTCAGCAAAAAGATGCAAAAAGTTCTTTTTTCGCCGAAGCAAAAAAAGCTGACGTGAGCGTGCAACCCATGGGCAAATGTTTCATGTTTTTCAACCAATCAGATCGCGCGGATTTACTTGATTTAATCAACACAAATTTATAGCTCATTTGTATAACCATACTAACTCGGACAACTTAATAAACAGTTAAATATTTCGTGTAATTTTATATTTCATTCAATATTTAAATAAATTATCTKTAGAAAGATATAAAATTATTAAATAAATATAAATCAATTAAGCTTATCTATAGAAATACAAAACGTTTTGAGAGAAATTCTTTGATTGCCGATAAAAATTCTTGTCATGAAAATAATAATAATATACGATTGTTTGCTAAAAAATACACACCTGACTTGCAGAACACTTCTTGATCCACCTTTAACTACATGAAATTGTTTAAAGCGATTTTTTCTGTGCATTTTAGAGCCGCATTTGCGAGTAGTTTTGCAGTGACATCAAGCGGGATCCCTGTGTTGTGTACACGGGCGTACGTACGTACGTATGTACG